TAGCATGGTTGTTTGGTTTAAACAATACACAACATGAAACTAAGGAACAAAATGAAACTGACAATGAAAATAAGCCGACCGTGTGTCAATCTCAAGAATGCAAAAAAATCGGTACTTCTTGAATAGCAGCAGCTGTAATCGGAATTATAATTTAACAGCTAATTTAAATCTTTATTTATCGTTATCCTTTTTTTTCTCCAGCTCAAATAATAACGGAGAGCATGGATAAATCTGTGAATCCGTGCGACGATTTCTACGAGTACGCTTGTGGAAAATGGTCGGAACATAATCCCGTTCCAACAGGAATGAAGGCCTGGAGTATGTTTGCAAGTGCACAAGTAAATGTCATAAAGCAAATAAAAGGTGAATATCAAATTATCCAAATTTCATCAAGAAACTTGCGTATAATAATATTAAAATTAAATCATATTTCGTAGAAATTTTCGACGAAGGTCCAAAGAAAGGTGAACTTTTGGCGGTAAAGCTCGCGAAGAAGTGGTACGCGGTCTGCATGAATACAGGTAAATGTAGCTTTCGAGTGATTGAACCGTTCAAAAATTCAAATATTATTTTTAAATATAATTGTGTTCCACGACATGATTCACGAAATGCTTCCAGATGCAATGGATAGTCAAGGGCTTGAACCGCTTGTCTTTACCTTATCGAGGATCGGCGGCTGGCCGATGATAATGGAACCTGATGAATGGAACGAGGAGGAGTATAGCTGGCAAAAAGTGGATGATCAATATGTGCGCTTGATAGGAAGGAATGCTTTTCACGACGTGCGGGTGAACGAAAATCGGACTTCAAACGAATCCCAGAAAACAGTGCATGTACTTATTACACAAGCATTCAATTAAGATTATAATTATGCATTAACATTACACTCTCAAATCTCTAAATCCAAAAGCATGCTTGCGATGTATATTTTTATAATCCCTATGATTACATTATGTATCATTACAGAGCGTTTTATGTCTGCGTTATTCTTTCCATTGCAATTTTAAAATATTCGCTTTGATTTTTCACTAGTGATTTTTATTAATGTAAGTTCTTGTTGCCAGGTGTCTATTCCCCATTTACCTCCGGCTTCGTTCAAACTTTGGGGTGGAGGCGATAGCGAAGAAGAAATAGGAAGCGACGAAGATCTCAGCGACGAGGAGAAGCAAAGCAATGAGCAAAATGATAGTCAAGAACCTGGAAGCGAAGATCAAGACGATAACAAAAACGATAGTACTAATAATACTGATAATGAAGATGATAATAATGGTGACAATGAAGATAATGACGATAATAATAACGATAAAAATGGCGATGAGGAGAATGACGATGAAGATAATAACGACAATAATGATGATAAAAATGATGATGAAAAGGATGACAATAATAATACAAACAAACAGGATGACGATAACAATAATAGTACACACGAACACGACGACAATGAAGAAAATAAGGAAAAAAGAATCAGTGTGAAAAAAGCTAGTAAATTCGCGAAAAATAAAAAATTAGAGCATAGTAGAAAAATTAAGAGTAACATCAACTTCAAGAAACACGAGAATCATAAGATGAAGAAAGATAGGATAAAAAGACGGGTGATACCGAATGTTCGCGAAAAATTACGCACGCGAAAGATTAAAAAGAATCACGTGAAGCAAGCACGTAAGGAAAGAGTAAAGAAAACTTTAAAGGCACCACAGATTAGCACCGAACAATACGATATGACGAAACTATATACTGATTATATCTCGAAAGTAGCTCGCGCCATAGCCGAAGCAAGAGGCGTTGAAGTCTCAGAGGAATACTTATATAAAGATATCCAAGACATGATCAAATTTCACATAAAACTAGTTGAAGTGAGTGTTACACTACTTTGCTGGATAAGAATATGTTCGTAAAAACCAAATAATAATATATTTCAGATTACTACAGGAGGAGGGGAAGAAAAAGAATTAACGCTTAATGACTTCCAGAAATGGTATGAAAGAAAGACACCCAAAACTTTCAACAGCGCAGTAAGTTGATTTCTAATTAATTACTTTAACCTGTAATTTTCTTCAATTAAATGAGCATAATTAACGCAACATAGATTGACTGGCTGTACAAAATTGGGGAGTTATTTGATGAAGCTCACGTGCCTGTGAATGGTGATATGGATATAAAAATTAGTAACCCAGATTACTTCAGCAATCTTATATCTTTGCTAGACGATACATCAAGTCGAACAATCGGTAAATTAAAAAATAAATGTGATAATGTAAGCAAATGTCGTTAATAAATGCGCTTACATAAGTTATGTTTCAGTGAATTATATACATTGGAACTTTTTAAGCAGAATAATAAGAACTACTACAATTGAAATGAGAAAATTATATGATGCATGGGAAGAAAAAAAGAACAATGATGATGATCAGATTCTTGGAATTCCAGCAAGGTGCAATGCAGCTCTTATATTAAAAATAGTTTTTTATATAATTATTAACGTCATTGTTTGCTCTTCAATTTCTTTTTTATGTTGCATTTTCCATGCGTGAATCAAAATCGAATTATAGTTTTAGAATATTTTAGATCATACTAATATTAACTGATGATGAACTATTATCACAGATGGTTCAAATGCACAAGGAAAGTAGAGATGAGCGACATGCTAGCATACGAATATGTGAGAAAACATTTCTCTGATGAAATCACTACAGCTGTAAGCACTTCGTATGGATTATTAAGTCTTATGTTGTCTATAAAAGCCTCCTGACTATCTTATAAATTGATCAATTGAATTACTTATCTCTATTACAGGCATCGGACATGATGGATGATATACAAAAGGAAGTTGAATATCAAATTAAAGACTCAGATTGGATAGATGAGGATACTAAAGATTTTGTTTTAGCAAAATTAGTGCATATGGAGAAATTTATCGGATATCCAAATTGGTATAGAAATAACACTATTGTTAAACGATATTATCAAGGTGTAAGTTTCTCACAATTTATTAATTACTGCGTAGTGATTATTTGATTTAATTGTTCTATTCCATTAAAGCTCATTATTGGCAATTCGTATTATGAAAATACATTGAGCTATGAAAGATACAGCAAGTGGAAAGAGCTACGACAGTTGTTGCAAGAAGATGAAGACGATGAAATGTAAGATAACTCATTCATATTTTATTATAGTCTCATTTTTTAATATATAAAATAAATTCATATAACATATTCCATATTATAGAACAAATATAATGAATCCTGTAATGGTAAATGCCTTTTTCTCACCGGATCTTAATTCCGTAGGTTTGTATCCATAGCACGTCTTTTTTTTTTTTAGTAAAACTTAAATCCATGAATTTGCATTTTTTATATTGTCATTGATATTAATCTTTCTTTCGATTATAGCCCTTTCGGCAGCAGATTTTCAGAGTCCATTGTTTGCTTTCGGTCGACCACAGTAAGTGAACAATTTTTATTAAAAATGTGGTTAGCGCATAACTATAAAAAGCCATAAATACAAATAAATTTAAGATTATAATCTTTAAATATTTTGTAATTTTGTTCTAAACACTCTTTATTCCAGAGCTATTAATTATGGTATTGTTGGAACAATCATGGGTCATGAAGTTAATCACGGATTTGACGACTCTGGTAACGTTACAAAATGTTTGCTATATCAGACCGTTTAGTTTAGTAAACTATATTCTATGATATTTAATTAATGCAATAATATAATATTTATTATTTTACTCCAAAAAATATTTCAAATGTTTTTTAAGTATTTAAAAAGATAACAAAAAGTCAAAAGAATAACTTTCAGGCCACTTATATAATAGGAAAGGAAAAATTGTGGAATGGTTATCCGCAATGGCCGAAGCATATGGCAAAAGAGCAGAGTGTTTTGTGGAACAGTTTAATAATTATGCCATCAACAAGATATCGAATACAATAAAGGTACGTCATCTACATTTCATCATCTATATTTTATTACCATCTAATTTACATTATTCTTATTTTTCTCATCGGGCATTTTAAACATTTCGCATTCACTGTTAAAAATTGCAGGACTATGGCAATCAAACGGCAGGAGAGAATATCGCGGACACAATGGGATTAGAGGCAGCGTTTAAAGCATACCAAAGAAGAGAAAGGGAATGCGGAAAGCCGAATACCGTATTACCAGGCCAGGAAAATCTCACTAACGATCAACTTTTCTTCCTATCTTTTGCCAACGTAAGTATCACAGATATATAAATTCAAAATTGTAATAATTAAATTATAAAAATAATAATGTTTAAAGTAAACATTCATGTGCTTGAATGTATGAAATTGGGATAACGTTTGCAGTTGTGGTGTGAAGATCCGGCAATGAGTGCTAGCAAAGCTAAACATGACGTACATAGCATCGGACGATTGAGAGTGATAGGAACTGTTTCAAATTCGCACGACTTCGCCAAAGCTTATAATTGCCCGGTCGGCAGTGCAATGAATCCCGAAAAGAAATGCCATATTTGGAAGTGAATTACTTCTACGAATGTAACAAATTAAACTAGCCAATGCTTCACAAAAATGTAAAATAGTTGATAAAAATTTTCTGTCTATATATATATATATATATATATATCAATGAATAAAATAAAGTAAGTAAAGAAATTGTTTCATTTTGTACAGGTTTGACGTCTTTATCTGGTTTTTTAAGTAAAAAAAGATTACGTTATATGTTCAGACATATCGGTGAATAGAAATGCAATGTGTGTGTGTGTGTGTGTGTGTGTGTGTGTGTGTGTATTTGGGCATCTAAAAAAAATCCCCGCGGTTGTTTTGCGATAGTGGGTATAATAAAAAAAACATTCATCATTTTTACAATTAAATTCTTCGAGTTTAAAATTATGTTGTCAGTACAATAAGACGTTTTTATTAGACATGCTCATTACTGATGCCAAAGACAATCGCTATTGATAAGCGATATTTAAAGTTGTCAATGGAATAAAGGAGATAAGCAGAAAGGAAAAATACTAGCAAAAAAGTTTTTATATTGATAAGTTGCAATGTTTCATACATAATCCGTAGCCATTATTTATAAAGGATTTATTTATTTAGATGTCGAGATAGTGATATGTTTGTCGGCAGAATTCTTATCGTTTATGGACTATCGCAACACATTATGGTGACATCTAAATAAACGCCATCATCGTATCTACTTTCAAAGTATTAGAACATGTACGTATCTTCTAATAGTTGATTAACTTTTGTTTCTGTATAAATAATTTTTACGTCTAATCCAACTCACTTGAGATACGATCGCTCGATCAAGAACGAATAGATGTTAATTGATTGTAGGTATTAGAAGTTCAGACCAAAATTCGATGGTATCATCGCGTTACCAAGTTCCCTGTAGGCGTGTGTACTGCATGTGGCAGACATCTAAAGTATGGTCAGATGGGAATCGGATACATATTTTGAATGTAATACCGACATTGATGTTCGTAAATTAATGTCATCCATTCTGTTTTTCATGTACACCATTCTGCTTCTCTTGCGCTTTCAATGGTTTTATTATTTCTACGTCATTTAGCTGTTCGAGCATCAACTGCTGTTTCTTCTTCTTCTTAGGCTTCCTAAAAAAAATTTGTCCAAGGACATGTTATTTATATACCTGAAATAATAAACTGCACGGAATAGACGACAGAAGACTTACTTTCCAAAAAGTTCGCCATCTTGAATCGATTCAGGAAGTTTTTTGTTCAGAGTCTCCGGAAGAAGAAGAGACATTAGTCCACCAAATAAGGCGCAAGATCCGAATATAACTAATGGTAATGGCATCCATACTTCAGACTGGAATGATTAGAGATAATATGCTACATTGATGATTTCATGTGATATCGGACATATGTTTACTTCGGAAGTTTCTATATATATCTGGATATTGACAAAAAATAGCGTGATAAATAACATACCAAATGATTAACATATGGAGCGATAACTCCGCCAATTCGGGCAAAGGTGGAACTCGCACCCAATCCGACGTTTCGAATGACAGTCGGAAATTGTTCGGCAGTAAACACATAAATTGCGCCATAAGAGGAGGTAATAGCAAGTTTTCCTATCATTGCTGAACAAACGATTAACCACGGCATATCTGAAAACAAACAAATTTGTTTATTGGCATTTTTATTATTAAGATAATTAGCTATCAGATCTATTCCAATACAAATACTGAATTTACTTAAAATATTCTTTCGCAAATAGCAAAAATAGTTTTATTCAGACATACATATAAGACAATATAAAATCATCATGAATAAATAAAATTGTTAATTTATATCAAATTATCAAGTTATACTTACTGGCAGGGATAAATAACGTGGCAAGTAATGCTAAGCCGGACAACATCATACATCCACAAATAATGATCTTTCTGCCCCAGCGATTCAGAGTGAAAATCAGGAATGTGTATGCCGGTACTTCCACAATTCCAGATATTACAAAATTGACGTAGTCGTTACCACCAAGATTGGACGCGTGCCAAGATAATCCATAGTACGTGCCACTGTTAACGAGCCTACATGAATGAAAAAATCAAAATTAGCACAGAACCATCAAACAAAAGGTCTGTTTTCTATGGCTAAACTAATATGTACATACTTTTGGAACTTAAAATCAGATAGGTATGTTACAATATTTCGCGAAAGTGAAAAAGAGAGTTCTAGTGTAAAAATAAAAAATAAAAAATAGACGTATAAAAAACAAAATATATGAAATAATTAACGAAACGATCGTACCAATTAAAAAACAGAAGCATGCTCTTTCGCCTTAAGTTCGGATAACGGAACAGATCGAAGAGCGAAGGCTTTTTCGTATCGGGCATACTATCCTCACTGTTATTATTAAGAAGCGTATCTAAAACCTCGCTTGGCATCTCTACACCATTTTCCAGAGAAGCACGTTGCAGCAAATCCTTCGCTTCTTGGAGTCGACCTTTTGTTAGAAGCCATCGAGCAGACTCGGGAATAAACCTACCGCGAATCAGATAAATACTTTATAGCAACGCCGGCTCTAGAATTATATGTTACTTGAAATACATCTATTATATGTCGTACCACCAATAAAGTAGAAACGCGATACTTGGTACTGTGATAGCTACTTGTAGCATTCTCCAGTCGGTAATAAAATACGCGAAACCAGCGGTGAGTATATATCCGGTAGTAAAAAATAATTGGCAACCGACACTGGCTACTAGTCGCTTTTTCGGTCCGACCATCTCCAAAGCTGGAAGAAATAAATAATTACATTTAATCTCTTCGCTCGTGTAATTTTAAAAACAGATACTCAAAAGCTCCTATTCGATAAAACGCTAAATTGTAAATAATAAATCAATTGGTAAATGATATTGGTAATCAAATTCAGTTTACCTATGACATAAGCCACTAAGAACACCCCACTGGTGGTTGAGCCAACAATTAGCCTGAAGATTACGTAGGAAATAAATTCGGGCGCGACAGCGACTAATATACCGCCAGCCAGCTGTATGACTAAAGACAGGAAGAAAATTGGTCTACGACCATATTTATCAGACAAACCGCCGAATAACATCGAGCCAAGCATGACTCCTACCATGAACAACGAGTCCCCCGTCGCTCTCAGCCACGCCTTGTCACAGACCAAGTTCCACTGCAAAAAAAAAACATTATCTATCAAGTATTCTTTAAATTGAATTTCTGTCCGTCTCGTCTGATTTCTATTCGTATCTCCATTCGTACAAGAATTGTCGAGAAAAATGCACACGAGTGATAACAAGGTTTTAGTTCGCGAAAATTATGACTAAATAATTATTCCATACCTCGGAAGTGGTTGTACTTTTGTACACACTTCTGTCGTACACATATTCCTTGCAACTACTGATGCCTCCCTCTTCGGTGCCGTTACCAATAGCAGTTCCAATAATCGTGCCATTCGTGAGGCCGATAATGTCACGCCTCATGCACTGGGACCACCCTCGGAGTTCGTAGTCCCATGGATAGCTCGCGTTCAATACATCCTGGCTTAGGTGAAACGTGACGTTCTCCGCGTTCTCGTGTGGAAGTAAACACCTGGAGGCAAAGGAGTTTCTCATTTTACCGTTTTAAATTCCTCATAATCCATCATGTAATTATCGTCACGTTTATTCGAACGGTTACCTCGAATCCATTTTGGCTCCGAGAAATACGCCAGCTAGCTTGTGAAAGGCACACGATATTGCTGGAAGACAGAGTAGAAGATAGATTCTGCGCTGGTAGCGACCGAACTCGCCCATACGAAGAATAACATCGTCGTACGCCATTTCGTCCGGAGTATATCCTGCGTTTCCGTATTTACGATATTTCTCAATGCGTGAGAGAAAACTTTTATTAGAACCCTTGTAAATAAAAATATCTCTCTATTGGAATTTAATCGGCACACGATTTCACATTTAACGATTTCGTTCGTAACGGACGAATCGTTTTAATAATATTCTATCGATTTTGACATCGTTATCTCGTGTCACGAGAATTTTTTCGTCGTGACATTTGGAAGTGGCTGTAAGAAATAGACGCGGTTCACGAGGGCACTCCTCGAGATATTCCTAGCTAAGGTTGGATCCAATGGTAGAGACGACCAAAATCGCTTATCGGATTTCCGAACACATTGGGCGTTTCCTTAAATCGACTTCCGGGCGAAACGATGGCAGCTAAAAAGAAATTAGAATATATTTTATATCTCTGTATTAACTATTTATTATTTTATCTTATTTACACATATTATTGTTATATATTTTATTACTATATATTATTTTATATTTTGCTCATTTTTGCATTTCTTAAGAATCGTGAGGATATAAAAAAAAAACAATCTTAAAACTGACTTAGAAATTAATATCTCATTAACTATTTAAAAAATTGCAAAATAATAAAGGATTTTTTTACTTAATCTGTTTATTTGCTTAGAAGTGGTGTCAAAAAGACTGTGACACTAGAAAAATATTGAAAAAATATACACATATACGGATGTTCTAAACTTTTCAACACATCGTTTGTGAGTAAAGCGAACTAAACTGAATCGAAAAGTCCTCTATCTATTTTGCAATTTTCGCGCGCGCAAGCAGAATGTCTAAACTCAGCATATAAAACTTTAAGATGTCTTTAAGAGTTCTTTAAAAAACAATTTTAAGATATTTAAAAAAACTCAAAGTCTTAAAGTTGTCTTAAAACCTTAAAGTTGTCTTACATCGATTTTACCCGCTTATTCGACAATCTTAGAAATTACTTGGAAATTAATATCTCGTTAACTATTTAAAAAATTGCAAAATAATAGATGATTTTTCGACTTAATATAATTCGATCTATTTGCTCAGAAGTGATGTGTCAAAAAGTGATACCTGTATTTTTTAATATGTATAGTTTTAATTGACGCTTTCAATTGTTCGCACGATTTTTTTCAAATTCATTATAATTTTCCATGACAAGTTCGTCATTAAAGACTAATTCATCATTTATGTATATGAAAGTAATCGCGAGTGTGCAAGCGCAATGTTGTTTATACATTTAAGATTGGTCCGCGCGCGCATTGCGTAACAACGCTATGTAAAAGAGAGAGAAAGGGAGAGGTTTGACAAATCGCAAGGTTTAATACCAAGCCCAACCGAACATTACGCCTGTGCGTAGCAGCTTTTAATGTACTTGGGACCCGTTCCGACTAATTAGACTCGCGGACAGACGATCCGCATGGATCGTCATTGATACAATTGATACAATTGTCTTTAGATTAGAACTCGAAAGAAAAAAAAGGCGGCAAACGGATAATATCAGCAATTATTGATCGACCGATCGTTTATTATATCGTCAATTTCTCTTTTGCTTTTCATTTTACCGTTCGTCGAATTACTCGCACTAAAAATTCCTCTAAGACTATATTTTCCGCACAACGGTACGTACAAATTGCACCTTTTCTCTTTCAAGTTTGTAGATTTACATGCGATTCTGTGACACAAATCAAAATCAAACATCATAATTAGTAATAATCTTGCGATAATACAAATAACAAATAATCAATAAATATTTCTAATAATTCTCGCGTTAATATTAAATTTTTGCAAAAGCGTTAAAGTACGAATATAAAATTAATATCCTGGCTTTGAAATAACTTTCCAAACATGTAACGCTCCAGGAAGAATTTTAAAACATTCATATTGCGACAACGGTTGAGCACAGTCGAGTATAACGCAACGTCGCGATATCGTATGAGCCGGGCATACGAAATATCCGTATTATCTACACGTTTAATCTACATCTAACGATACCGCACCGATCGCACACAAGTAATCAGCGACGACGTGGTGGACAGCGTCTTCAGTCCAGGTAGTTCTTTCAAAATGCAAATGAGCGATCTGTCGCAAGGCGTACGAAACGATCTCGCATTTATCAATGGGACACAACCCTGCGCGCATCAAGGACGGACGGAAACTGGCCACATGCTTTAGCCGGCGTGGTTCTCTGCGGCAAAGGCGCGATCAGCGCGACTCGGCTCAACTCGACTCAACTCGACACGACTTCGGCTCGCCGAAGACTCCTCGATCCGCGTTTCAACGCGGCGGCGGCTAGATTCGGCTCGATGTACTTGGTACCTCCAATGGTTCAGGCTGATCTTTTTTTTCTTTTCGTTTCACTCTTTACTTCTCCTCCCCCTGGATAGAAGCGGATCTCGATTTGTCAAAATCGGACGTGACCCGACACACGTCCCCTCGATGCCTTTGCGGCAGCGAATCTTCATCGAGAGCGAAATGGATGATAAGTAAAAAAAAAAAAAAGAGGTAGATCAGCCTTTGCCGGGTCAGTCACATTCGAATTCGTATCCCCCTCGAGAGCCAGAAGAAGCACGTGAATTGATCGATGCGTCACGTGTGCAGCGTATCGCACGTAATGCTTGTCGCAATGTACTCCTGTTCCTGCATATCTATTTTCGCTGAATACAGTAAACCGATCTTTAGAATTATAGCTGATTGTATTCGGGCTGTTTGCCTTCGGCTTTTTGACTATCCGTCCTCCGCGAGACGACTTTAAATCTCTCACTCCCCCTACAGCACAAAGTTGCACAAAAGTTGCAGCAACATTGCAGAGATTTTGCAGCAATATTGCTGCAAATTCTGTGCTGTATGAGTCACGTCACGTGCTCGCTTCGCTTCAAAGCGACATTTCGCGCGATCCACGGCGGAATGATCCTATTTTGGACGATGCGAGAAATAAGGCATGTCACAACTTATAAGGCAATGGAGCAAGGAAATTACTAATAAAAAAATGCTCCGTCTAACGCGACATTTGTAACATATCGTGTTTTCGAATACTCTTCGAAAGTTTGCATGCTATAACATTTCGCCGGTTCAATATTATCATCGGTATCGCGATTATTTTTCACGTGAGCTTCGCAAGATCATCTGAATAACGATCTAATTGATTATTTATGGACTCTGTAAATGAGATATGAAAATAAACAATAGGGTAGTGCGAAGTTATTCCGTCTATTTTCTTAAAGTAATATAAAATTTATGGCAACAAAGAATATCATTTTGCAGTAATGTGTTTATAACAACCTTATCATGATTACAATCATGATTGCTTCTTGCACAAGACCTTTAAATATTTGCATATGATCTTTAAATATTTAATATATGCTGCTCAGAAATATAAACAATATCGTGAGAAATGGACGAAATAGACTTGCTCTATCCTAAACTAAGTGAAATAAAAGTGAAATAAAAGGTGCAGTGGTTTATTAGAAGACTACTTAATAGAGACTAACTTTCCTCGATAAGATTACGTTATCGCGAGAACTCGATAGAAATGCACAGCTAAAACAATCCTGTTTGCTATATGCATATATTCCACTAGCCGAGCCTCCCTCGTAGACTTCGTTCCGCATCGTAATCGCGTGACACATAATCCGTTAAAACAAAATATTTTTCAATGAGCGTAAGTTCTCTTGCAAAACGATACGAAATGGGTTATAGCTGCATACCATTCTGCTATATCTCTAGCTCTCGCATTGCGAAATTCATGGAGGACGTATGGGAATATTCTGTCTGCGTACAAAATGAGCAGTTTCGACAATTAACAATTCTAATCTTATACGCTCTAAATTTGCTTGTCGCCTCGTACTTTCATCAAGCGGAGTCAATCGATCGCCCGTGACGATGCCTCTCCTTCTCATCTAATAAAAATTCCAACGCAGACCATGACATGGACCCTCTTTGCTCTCTCAGTCGCGTTTCTACCGCATCTACCTGCATAGATACATACATATATTAATACTCTATAGGATATCTCGTGATTCATCCTCTTTTTCCACAAGTATCAATTTATGGCGTAAAAAGGAGTGAAGCTTTAGCTGAAAAATAGATGGACGTTTATTCGCATGCGACAGAAATGCCTGTTAGCCACATGTCAATAATACTGGCCCAGACATTGCTACCGCTATCACCATCATCGCCACCACTGTTACCGTCGTCGCCGTGTCGGAGGCCGACATCGTCAGCCCCAGTGCAAAACCCGAAGGCTATTTATAGTAGGGAACGGCTTCTAGTTCCCACTGCGTGAAAAATCGCAACTGGTTTCTCGCGAGTGCGAATGGAACAGGGAGAGAGAGAGAGAGAGAGAGAGAGAGAGAGAGAGAGAGAGAAAGAATAACTCCGGTGTCTCGGCCGAAGTCGTCGCTCTGCATTAGCCGCTTCTCTAATGAGCAAACAGTTCTCTGTCGAAGGCTCTCACGAGAATGCACCTGATGGTAAACGCAATGCGAATTATGTATGAAGCGTAACCGATAAACAAATAAATCAAGATGGATATGGTAAATATTTAATAAAAAATGAATGTTATCCTCGTCATGAGTTAACATGATATTGCATTCATTTTAATCTTGATTAGATACGTGCTCCGATTATACATACATGACAATGGAGGTCCTGTTACAAGCGTATAACCCTTTACGTTGAGCATTCTTGAAAGTCAGGAAAGAATGATCACCTGTTTAAACTGTAGAGTAGCAATTGCGGGCAAGAAGACAGCGGCTGGAGAACTTTCAATGTATTTGCTGGTAATTTCATCTTCTTTTTTAATCAATTAAAGATACGCGCTTGATAAACGTAAAATGCGTCACATCGAGAGAATCGCGCAAAAGTTTTGTTTGTCCGATTTGCATAATCGCGTAACCCGCATTCTCGCGCGCAAGAAGAAAAAAATCCATCGATCTAGGTCGAGTTTTGCTTAACGCGAAGGATGCCAATTGCGTTCCTTAGACGCATGATCGACTGCTACTCCTTTCTCCTTCTTCTGCGTACCTACGCTTTATGCAAATCTGGACAGGCCTTAACAGGCCTTTATCTTTTCTGCTGGACGCGACCGCTGAAGGGAGTCGGCGAATTTCCGACGAAGAGGAGAAGGAGGAACATCTCTAAATCAAGATGAGATTTTTTTTTTTCTATTTCTGATGGAAGAACTTGTGTATCTCTTCCTCTGCCTTATTCGTCTCATGCAATGTTCATTAACTGTAGGATATTTGTAAGATATTTCTTTCCGTCTGTCTTTGCGAGCATGATAATTTATTCTCAATGAAAGTATCGTAGACGATACCACTTTCAGCATCGATACAGTTCAGAGAATCCGTATAGACTCGAAATGTTGTCATCAGCAAACACAACTATTTGCTGCTAATCGTACAGGTAAATTCATCGTCACGTGAGCGCGTTTCAAATTGAATCTGGCTCGGTGAAACGCGTAATGGAGAGTGAGTTAAAAATTCACGAGCTGGAATACATTGAAAAGGCTGCTGTCCTTGCAAGGGCGCCACGCTGCGCCGCAATATACCTCGCCTTCTTGATAGCCACGCCGCGAAGACAGGAAAGGTGTTTGCCCCTATCTGGCTTGTCTCGGTTTTTCACTCGAACTCAACGCGGCCGTTTTTAGAGCGTATAAACCAATGAAAGAGGTTTAAAGATGAGGTTTCTATTTCTCTCTTTCTCTCTTTATTCTCTCTTTTCTTTTTCATATATCTTTTTCTTGTACATTTTTTTTTCTTTTAATTATCTGTTTACTTTTATATTCTTTTTGCAGTTCTCATCTTTTATAATTGCAAGTTTATTTTTAGAGAGTTTATCCTAAAATCCTATAAACGCACTATATTTATCTATTTCTATACGAGATAACTCCTGATTTATCCTATCATATCTTCAGTCCAATGCAAGAGAAACGTAAGAGGTAAGTAGCTAAGATATCATCACTTCATGCATTCTTAACGTCCTCTCAAGTTGTTAAAATTATATATAAAATTGTTAACATTTAATACATTTTCAAGTTAAAATACAAAAGACAGAAAAAATGTATAAAAAAAGAGAAAAAGTAGATATATGTAGAATGTGTACATATATCTCTACTTCTTTTATATTTTTTATATCTTTACTTCTGTTCTCATTTTTTTCCCTTATTTTATAGTATAATAATTTTTTCTGTCTTTCGTATTTCACATAAAAAGTTAATACGCAGTGTTGACGTATTCGCATACATAGGATCAGTTCCACGATTCACCATCTTATACGAATGCAAAAATGTTTTGAAAACATAATTTGTGGAAAAGAAAAGAATCTTAAGATAGCATTGCGTTCACTTCAGTAAAATATTCTTTTTTTTATACTCATGGAGAACTTCTCATTAATAATTTTCAGACAAAATTTTGCATGTATCTATTTTGTGTATCTACAAATTGGCCTTCCATTAAGATTATTGCAAAAGCAAATTTGCAAACAAAACAACACATTTTACGTTGCGGCTATCGCAATAATATCGCAAGACGTCGTGACTTAGTCAGCACTTACATAAGAAATAAAACTGCGCGTTAAAGGGGTTTAAGGTCAGAAATGTGCAACAATGTGACGCGAGTATGCGTCTAGTAGCAAATATGACGTTATTACTCTGTCACGTCGCAAACATCTTCAAATATCGCTTATGTTCATGTTTGTTCGCGCCTTATATTGCATAGGAAAATGTA